ACGCCTTTAATCCCAGCACTCTGGAGGCAGAGGCCTGCGAATCTCTGTGAGTTCGAGGCCAGCCTGGTCTACATAGCGAGTTCCAGGCCAGCTGGGGCTACTGGGAGACCCTGTCTCAAAAATACCAAAAATAAATTAAAAATTTAAAATATTGTCTACAGAGGGACCTGGGATTGATGAAAGGGTAAGTTTTAGGAGACCTCAGTAAATTTTGCCTTTGAACTGCCTCATTCATGTGAACCTAATCCCAGCTTCATTTTAGCCTGTGGTCCTCAGCCCTGACTCAGGACCAGGATGCAAAGGATATATCCTCTGAGGCCAGCTGTTCCAGAGCCAGGATTTAGGAGTTTGCTGAGCAGCAGCTGAGTACCAGAAACCGCCTATTTCTCACAGTAACTCTGAGGCTGTACAGAGGAGGAGGCAAGCTTGGGGAGCTTGATTTACTCCCAAGTCCAGCCAGAGGTGCTGTGGTTGGAGTCCCTCTATGCCCCTACTCCCAGGCTCTTTCCCTGCTCTCTAGCAGGGGCATCTCTCATTCCAGACCCTAGAGCAGTATCACTCTATTAGCCCCAGCATTGCTTCCATCTGCTCTCAAGACCTGGAGTTTTGTTGTTGTTTTAAAAAATATTTTATAGGCCGGGCATGGTGGGGCACAACTTTAATCCCAGGACTTGGGAGGCAGAGGCAGGCAGATCTCTGTGAGTTCAAGGCCAGCCTGGTCTACATAGTGAGTTCCAGGACAGCTGGGGCTACAGGGAAACCCTATCTCAAAAAGACAAAAAAAAAAAAAAATTCTATTAGTTTATGAGTGTATTGCCTACATGTAGGTGCACCCATGTCATACAATGACTGCAGAGGTTAGATGAGGGAGTTGGATTTCCTGGAACTCGAGTTATGGATGGTTGTTAGCTGGCATGTGGGTGCTGGGAATTGAACCCAGGTCCTCTGCAAGAGCAGGCAGTGCTGTTAACCGATGAGCCATCTTTCCAGCCCCAAGGCCTGGAGGTTTACAAGTCTGGCCACAGTGTGACAGCAGATGAGAGCTGAGCCAACCTACCACTGTGGCCTGTGTACAACCTCCCGCCCCGCCCCACCCCGTGTTATGCACATAGTGGGTCCCTGGGAAGGTGAACCAATGGTCAGAGGCTGGCAGACATGCCTCTTCCCAGGTCTTCCTTTCCCCTCCCTTCGAGGCTCTGGAACTCACCTGTCTCTACTTACTTCCTCATTTCTTCCACCAGACCCAACTGACCCAAATGACCACCTCAGGCTCTGTAAAAGTGGAAGACATTATTTAATGGAAAAGGAATGGCAGGTGAGGCGACCTGAGGGAGTCAGTCTCCCACTTTCTCCTATCACAAACAAGTCTCATTTTAAAAAACTCTTGAGTTTCCATGGCTCCTGGGAACACGGTCTTCCTGAGCTCAATGCCAACATAAGAAATCTTCATTTCTTCTCCCATCCTCAGTCTTGGGTTTCCCCTCCTTCTTCTGTTTTCCCCAACCTTTCAGTCTCTGCTCTGCCTACTTCTGAGTGTGTCTGGTCGAATTCTTCAGAAGGCCTCCTGTAAATCTCCCCGGACTCGCTCCTCATTCCTTTCAGTGTCTTGTTATCGCCTGTCAGGCTTTCCACAGGTCCTCCACAGCCATGTCTATCTCTCTCTCTCTCCATGGTCTGCCAAGCCTGTTTGGATTCCTCCTCGTCTGCTGTGTCTTTCTCGCTCTCCCTTGGGTCTTTTTCCCACTGCTTCATCACCCCCTCCGAGTCAGCTCGCCTTACTTCCTTCTCCAATGTTGGCAACTCCATCAGTGCAGGGACCTCTTCTGAAAAACAGAATGGGGCGGGAGCAGGGTGAAACCCTGTCATGACTAGGCTGGAGAAGGCATGGGCTTCTGACAGAGAAGCCGAGGGAGAGACTGTTGGTGCGGCAGCATACCTTTCCAGGAGGAAAGAACCGGACCATCGCACTGGGTGTACTAGAGCTGCTTTGGCATTGGGTGAAGTGCTACACAGATCATATCATAATGATCCTCATGAAATTGCACAGCGACCCAAGATTAACAGAAACAAAATTGCACTGTGATTCCCCTGCAGGTAAGAGCAGAGCTAGAATTTGAACTCCAGTCTGGCCCAAAAGCACAGGCACTTCTCCCTGCAAGAAATGGCCGCACCCTTGTTCCTGAGTCCACGCCTCATAAGCAGCCACTGCCACAAGCTCCTGCTGCCACAGACGGAGCCGTTTCTGCCACCATGCCTTCCCCACTGCAACAGAAACCAAGGGGCAAAAAAAACCCTTCCTCCCTTAACACAAAGGGTACACACGCTGGGAAATGACAGCAAGTTCCTTCCCGGGGCCCTCATCCTGCCACCATCCAAGCCGCAAGCAGAAGAGTCTGCTGGAGAGCTGCTCTTTTATGAGAATCTTCTCTCGTTTTTCATAGTTACAGAAAAGTCACCAATCTCCTCCTGAGCATCTCTCGTTCGCTTCTAGGAAGCTGCTCACCTGAAGTCAGTCTGAACCGGTTCACGGCCACGTGGAGATGAAAAGATAAGCAATGCTGCCCCCTGCTGTTCAGAGAAGGAAGTGCCCCACGAGGGCGTGGAAAGACCTTTCCCCAGCATGTGGCCTGGCAAGGGAGCCCAGGTGCTTGGAGCATCGGCCCTTCCCTACAGTCTCTTTTCACACCTATCACCCCTGTGGCTTTTGAGCCGCCACAAGCAAGCTGTAGAAGCAGAGACTCAGCCTCACTTTGAGGGTATCAGCTGCTACACAGCAGGCACTGGATAAGAAAGGGTTGTTAGGCTGCCAGATGGTTCAAGTTTGGATCCTCCAGTGCGAAAACACACACCTGTGATCCCGACACTTGGGAAATGGACGCAAGAGAATCGGATTTCACGGTCATGCTGAGTTACAGAGAAAATCTGAGCCCCTGCTCCCCTTCAAAAGACCAGACAGGTCCCTGGGGCAAATGTGTTTGTCTAAACAGGTCAAATTAGCAACTCCAGGTTCTTCAAGAGACCCTGGTTCAAGCTGGGTGTGTGGCCATGCCTTTAATCCCAGTGCTCAGGTAACAGATATAGGTGGATCTCTGAGAGATCAAGGCCAGCCTGGTCTACATAGTGAGATCCAGGTCAGCTGGGGCTACAAGGAGGCCCTCAAAAAGAGACAAAAATAGAAATGACATTGGAGGTTAACCTCCAGTTAACACATGTACACATGTGCACCCACACGTGAACATTACACTCCACACATACAGTAAAGGGAGGAGGGTCTCATCTGGCCACTCTGCTGTAGTGACCACAAGGACTAGAGAGGACTGGACCTTGGATTTTGGAGGGCTGTAGACAGGAAACTGTCCTGGGCTCTGTCATCCTGGATTAGATTCTACTCACTACATTATGGCTGAGGTGAGAGCCCCACAGAGGGAGGCAGATAGGCTGTGTGTCACCAGAAACAGTATGGAACCGTGTTTGATGCCAGACTGCAAACCATTGTAGGTTTCTAAACTCTCAGCCTCAGTGTCCTCATTGGTCAAATCGAGTGCTTTGACAGTGTTCCTGGAAGGATGGTGAGAGTGGGTGCCGACCATGTCCCTAGAAGAAGGCCTGGCAGCAGGGCACTAAATGGAGACTAGTGGCTGATCTCAAACCAGCTCTTCTGGGCCTGCCCACACTCTGCCTCCCCTTCCCTCACACCTTCCCAGTGAGTAAGAGGAGCCTTAAGTCAGGGGGTCAAAGGCCTATTTGCTCCCCAGAAGCTTGTAGCAAAGCTGTTAGGCAAGGCAGGGGTCCCAGAAGAGAAACACCACACAGCCCTGCTGGGAGAAGGGCCGGGCAACACTCTCCCTGTGTGTGACCTGGCAGATCACTAGCCTCATTCAGCCTCCCTTTCCCCCACCTAGTACCTGCCTCCTAGGGGTGAGGACAGAATGAAAGCAGACCAGCCTAGTGCTTTACTCTGTCTGGTTGGCAGTAGTGCCCAGTGTTTCCTGTCCTCCTACCTGTGTCTGCTCTTTCTGTGTGCCACTGTAAATGCCTTCCTTCCTCTTCCACCTTTCACCTGGAAAACTGCTAGGCATCTTTTGGAACCAGAATTAGACCATCTTCTTCCTTGAGGCTTTCGCTGTCTCCCTCCACGGAGTCCCAGCCCCTTGCCTGTGCGTTCGCACACTGTGCTTCCACTCCACTGCAGCCCTTGTGTGGAAAACCCCATGGCTGGCTACTCTGCAGCCTTCCCATCCAGCTGTAGGCTCCTCCAGGCCAGAATTTCTGCCTTTCCAGAATCTAGCATCTACTTGGCACATAGCAAGTGCTTAATAAATACTTGATGAATAACTTGAAGACATGACTGAATGGGCTCAAGGGCAGCCAGGCTGGGTGCAAAGCCCAGGCCAAGGTGAACTGAATCCTCCCCCTGTCCTGCTCCAAGAAAAGTACCCAGCTGTTTGTGGCAACTAAGCAAGAATACTCAGAGCAGTGCCATCCTGGCCTGGGAGTGGCTGGGAAGTGTGGCCAGGAGAGAAGGCCGAGGGGGACACTTGGGCTCCAGGGACTCACGTTTCTCTGTTTTTTCCCGGAGTATCTCCCTATAGTTAGTTTTCTTCAGCTCTTCCATGATGCCTTTATTGGCGTCGTCCAAAGCCTGGGGGGGCGGGGAGGGCAGACACAGAGGGAGCTGGTGAACTCTCTTAAGCCCTGGGTGGAACCTGTTCCATTTTCTTTCCTAACCCAAACCCTAGTCCTAGAATGCAAGGCAAGGCACAAGCCTGCCACCCTGTCTTCCCTCTGCTTCCAAAGACTCCGGCCCTCAAGTCAGTTTGTATTTCCAGTGCTGAAGAACATGAGAGGCTGTGACAGGAGGTCAAAGATCCATTCCTCCCGGCTTAGGAATGTACTAGGGAGTGTGGCTGCCTGCTAATTTCTACCTTTTCACCTAAAACTCTTTTTTCTTCTTTTTAAAACATTTTAAACCAGCTGGGCATGGTGGTACATGCCTTTAGTCCCAGCACTTGGGAGATCTCTATGAGTTCAAGGCCAGCCTGGTCTACATAGTAAATTTCAGGATAGCTGGGGCTACAGGGAGACCTGTCTCAAAAAGACTAAATAAAAAAAAAAAAAAAAAAAACCAAAAACAAAGCTAATTTAAAAAAAAGT